TTTATCCTTTATCCTGCAGCTAAGGGCATGGTAGGGAAATAGCATTCTGTGTGATCAGAAACGATTATATTTCCATGTTGGCCACATCTGTGGCAGAGTTGTTCTTTCTGAGTGATGTGTGCTGAGTCAGGGAAGGGACCTGAGGAGAAGTAGCTCCAGGAGGAGGGCCTGGGTTATATGGATGTTTCTAGAACACGAGGAGGAAGGGTCCAGTCCGTATCCTCCTCTCTGACTGAAGTACCTGAGAAGTGCAGCTCAGTGTCATCAGAAGGGACACAGCCAGCGGGAAGCCCTTGTGAGGGGACAGGAAACGGTGATCACCACGTTAACAAGGACCTTTGTGAATTTCAGGCCATGCTATGCCCATTCGCTCCTTGACCTTTTCCCCGGATTCTCAGCTCCTCGTCACTGCTTCCGACGACGGCTACATCAAGATCTATGATGTGTAAGTTGCCTGCTGAGAGTCAAGGCTTCTTGCTTAACACCGCTGCCTGCCTTTCTCTTACTGTTAAAGACTTGTGTCCAGGTCATACAGGACACTCTTGTCGCCCTAGTCATGCCTCCCCGACCTGCGAGTGTAGAGTGTCTTGGAGGAAGACGTGCGTCACGCCTTAGGGTTGTTATCCTGCCGTAGGTGATTTGATTTCACTTTTTAAAAAGTGAAAATGGCTGTAGCAATCAAACTTGTGTTTGGTGAGGTTAAAAATGGTCTCTGTAGTTCTCTAGGCCATGTGCGTGGTAGAGGACGCCTGGAGGGAGGCGCTGGGCCATGTGGAACCTGCTGCTGTCCTCAGTCTCCCCGTCCTCAGAGCCGGCTGCTGAGCCTCCAGAGTGCGGCTCCTTTTTGTTTGAGCTTCTGAGCTCTGCTTGTCACGGATCTTGTTCTTGGCTCTTGGTGGCATTAACACACTTTGGGTTAATGCCGCTGTGGAACTTCCTTTCTGCCGTGCGTGATGTCCCTTCCCTGACAAGGGCGTTTTTGATAGATTAATACTGTATTATAAGGATAGCAGATTTTGTCCAGTTGAACAGGCAGATTTAGTAATGTGCCTTCAGTGACTTGTTCCAAAGCTAACAGCATCTCCGTTTTGTTTGACATTTTCTCGTTTCAGACAACACGCCAACTTAGCTGGCACTCTGAGTGGCCACGCATCCTGGGTGCTGAATGTGGCATTCTGTCCTGACGACACTCACTTTGTTTCCAGGTACTTAGGATTCTTGGCACTTCATAAAACCTATGAATCGCCTTAAAATTGGGAGATGGTGTGACCCTCTTTTATTCAGATAGCCTCTGTCCTCTGCAATGTTTTTCATTTTTAAGTTGTAAAGTTAGTTGCCCTTGGCTGGAGCAAACATGGATTCTTTTGAACAGTCCAACTCGTAGCTTTCCCATATGAATCTAGGATTCTGCCTACAGTTAGTTAAGGGATGTGAGGCTCCTGATGAGAACACTGATGAGGGCCAGGCAGGTCAGTCAAAAGAGTCTGGAATTTTTAGTCAGGTTCCTTCCAACTTCAGACCAGCCTGAAAACTGTTTTCTGATACTAATGTTCCCTTTTTAAAATAGTTCATCTGACAAAAGTGTGAAAGTCTGGGATGTTGGAACGAGGACTTGTGTTCACACCTTCTTCGACCACCAGGATCAGGTATGGATCAGTAATGTTGAAAGTCTTTGTCCATGGCTCACCAGCATTGTCTGACCGCTGTGCTGAATTATCTCCTCTCCTAACCTTGTTGCTAGTTGTCAGGGCTGGTGGACCTGGCTCGGAGCTGCTGCTGCTCGGACATCTAGCCAGCCTATGTCCTGTGCACACTGTCTGAGTGTGGCGGCTGGGCATGTGTAGGCCAGAAAACGTGCTACTCGCACAACCTTGAAATGCCTTAACTCTTCAGCCAGTACCTGGGGCCCTTTTCTGGATGCAGCTTGGTCATGGCCGGCTTAAAAGGACCTTCCTTCTCAGTAACTTCTGCGGCTTAAACAGTCATCATTTGTCATTTTGGGAGCTGTCCAAGGAAGTGACGTTTTGTTTTGTTTTGTTTTGTTTTGTTTTGTTTTGTTTTGTGTTTTGTTTTGTTTTGTTCTGTTCTGTTCTGTTCTGTTTTGTTTTTAAATATACGTGAAGCCAGAAATTCTTGCAAGTTGTTTGGCTTTTGTGATAACTTTTGTTCTAGTCTTTAAGTTAGGAAAGGAGGCTCTGTGCTCACAGGAGACTTTATCTTTGCCAGCATAACTGTGAAGTGGGAAAGATGTTCTGCGCAGGGCTTCTTAACCTCTGGTGTGCACAGGGGCCCCCTGGGGATCCAGTAAACATGCAGGTGCCACTCAGGAGGCCTGCAAGGGGCCTAAGAGTTTGCATTTCTAACCAGCTCCAGGGCGGCGAGTGCTGCTGGTCCCAACCACTTTGAGTAGCAAGGGTTTGGGGAACTAGTCAATATAAAAATAAATGCCACCGGCAGTGTAAAGTTGGCTTTTAATATATTTTAAAGATTTTTATGGTGACCCCACAGATTTCCCCTCTTTGGGAGGCAATTAAAGTTAATGAAATTGTTCCTGTTTTTTTATATTTAATCTTAAACCATTGCCAATAAAGTTGAGGGGATTTAACCTTGATATTCCACTCCTGGCTGGCTGTGTTGTCTGGCATGTGGGGGTCAGAGTGTGGTGCTGTCCCAGGCAGATGTCTGGAGTGGAGGTGAGGCCATCGCCTGGCCCAATCGCACGCTGAAATCGGGGCTGAAACACCTGACAGGTTTCGGGTGACACGCTGACCTGGTGCAACTCCAACCACATCAGTTCTGTCTGGGAAGGAGGCACAACTGCTCATTCAACACATAGCAAATAAATTCAGTGACCCATGATGCCCAACTGTCTAGCCCCTGGGGCAGGGAGGCGGGCACAGGAGTGAGGTGAGAAGCCCATGTGCAGTTATCCCTGTAGGCAGTGACCTCCGGGCGGG